CTGCCATATTGCACTACACCGTTACACTTGCTTAAGACCTGGTACAAGCAGTACAGTGAACTCTTTCACTGACTATCGCTACACCTCGAAAAAGAACAAAGTACATGACGTCATTTCGTTACAGTGTACACAAAAAGAACGATGTAGTGTACACTTCTTGAACTAGTGCAAGCAGTGCAGAGAAAAAAAAACAAACCTATAACCAACAAAGAAGAAGAATAGCGAATTAACTCAATCCTCCTCAGCAGAAAGATTAACGAGACGCCAATATGGGTCGCAAAATATCAGGGAAGGAGCATCGAGGTATTAAAAACAAGCAGCGCTTTAAACATTTAGCGGAGTAAGTTATCAGTAAAGTTGGTACCTATGCAATAAAGTATTAGATTTAGATGATTATTTTAAACCGGAAACGGATTTTAGGTTAGAATTGTGTACGAATACAGCATCGAAAAATGTAGACGAGCAAGTAATGCCAAAGAGTCTGGAACGTATAATTAAATTAAAAGAAGCTGTGAAGATCAATACTGGCATCTTGAAAAGAAAGAAGAAAAAGAATGCTCTTATTCGTATAGGGCTACAACATCACAGATCAAATCGTCTAAGAGCAAAACTAGATAAGGTTATACCAGTACTTCAACAACGACCAGGCGAATCTAGTAAACAATTTATGCACAGAGTATCTAGAGATACATATAATTTTTTGAAGGAAGTAGCATTTGAAAAAAAATACAGTATTCAGATTGAACGAGATTCAAATACTAGTGAAATTCAAGATCTAACAAAATGCAAACATAAAGAAGATACTGTAAAAACATTAAAAATTAAGCATAAGAATATTAATAGAAAAAAGATACTTGAAAGCTCTGCAACTTCGTCAAAAAATGAAAAGCGAAAACTGAAAGTATGTGCAAAAAAAGGAAAGAAGCTTGGAAGCTTTAACGAATTTGAGAGGTTGCAAGATAAGATTGTTTTTGGCGAAGTAGTCTATGAACCTCCTAGGTTGGAAATTAAGTCAAATGAAATTAATGAAGTTAGAAAGCCAAAAAATTTATTACTGAATTCGTTATTCGAAGGTTCTAAAGAAGACTTTTTTGCTTCCAAAGTGATTAATCGATTTGGAAAGAAAAACTTACCTAAAATGGAAAGAAGAAAACTAGAAAACAACAAAGTGAAGCTATTGCAGCCTACAAACAATTGAAGTCTGAGCGATTGATTAATAGGAACTACTAGGGTATGTTCAAAATTACAAAAGCAATAAATTGTGTTTGAATAAAGCACATATATTTGCCTTTTTCTTTTAATTTATTTTACTGATCTATCCTTATTTTTTATGTTATGATTATGTTGAATGTAGGAGTTAAAACTCAATAAAATTACTTTAAAACTTAAATTAGATAATATCTCAAATTGCACATCTTACTCACAATTTCTTTGTGATAGGATATCAATATTTTATAGAGAATCAAAGTTTTTGTTTAAAAAAGTAATAACATTTTTTTATCGTTGGATATATTTAACCTGTAGTCCAGACAAAGGGCTCAAGCCTCTCTTCAATTGGTAATAGATTGTTGAGCGTTTCGAGACTTTCAAGGGTTTGATTGAGAAGTGAGTGACATCTAGTTAACTGACGGCTAAGCTCATGCACTTTATTTATCTGTTCTGTAAATTTAGCGAATTTTTTTTGTCGATCCACAGCGAGATTTAATACCTTGCCAAATTCTGTTTCCATACTAGCACATACAGTAACTTGTTCTGCTGCTATAATCTGCGCATTTGTATTTAGATGATGTTGATAACGTGCACATAGATTAAACAGACCAACAGGATCAAGCCTCTCGAGGACCTCTGGATCGCGTACACCAGGTGGTAGATTTAATGTGCCACGCATAATCGGTAGGAACATTGGGATACTTTGTAGTTTTACTATGTCGGGATCTTTGTCTGCTGTAGGATCTATTTGAGCTGGTTTTACCACTACAATACTGTGTGTCTTGTCTGATATAATCTTCTTGTGACTTTCAACATGAAAAGAGAGGAAACTAATAAAATTCTATATGAGACAGAGTTGTTACATATAAAGTATGGTCTTTTGAAAATTTTGATTGTTGTATTAGAATATTTTTATATAGTATATATATATAGTATATATATATAGTATATATATATAGTATATATATATAGTATATATAGTACATATTGTCTAATAATAAAGTACTATGTTACATTAATAAACTCTGACATATAATCAACTCTTATTTTTTTGTGTAAATATATGTAAAAATATATTTATAAGAAAAATAAAATAAAATGAGACTGGCTTGTTATTCGATATAATTTAAAGGATACTCTTTTTATATACAGGGTGTTTCTGATCACCCGCAATTGGAACACACTACAAGATTAAGCATTTTATCCTGAATCTATCGAATCTAGTAATTTGTTAATCTGCAACATATTTAATTAATAAACTATTTTTGAAATTCATTTATAACAAGTTTATAACACTATTATTTATAACATTATTTATAACAACTTTTCAAAATGCTCTCCATTTTGTTGTATGCATAACATAGTTCAATCAATTGTCATTTGTACTTCGCTATAGCATCACTTCATTTACAGTTGCGAAGTTGTGAAATGTAATTGAGTCATTATCTCATCTTCGGTTTCTACTGGATTCTTATAAACTGTACATGAAGAGATGCTACAGCAAAGTACAAACGACATAATTGATTGAACCACGTTATGCATACAACAAAATGGAGAGCATTTTGAAAAGTTGTTATAAATAATGTTATGAATAATAGTGTTACAAACTTGTTATAAATTAATTTTTAAAAATGATTTATTAGTTAAGTATGCTGCAAATTAACAAATTATTAGACTTGATAAATTCAGGATAAAATACTTAATCTTGTAGTGTGTTCCAATTGCGGGTGATCAGAAACATCCTGTAAATATATATATTTTTTTTGTTTTATTGGAAATATCTCAAAGCGTTAAAAACATTATATATTCATATATAAATCCAGTAATACCTACTTATGATTTGTTGTGCCTAGACTATTCTTCTGCCTTGAGATTTCTCCAATACTCTTTCCTCTATAGATTTGTGACTGTTTATTTGTCATCTTTGGTGAATCTCCAATAGGTCGATTCACTGTATAAGAAATATATGGAAGATCAGAATCAGAGCAAATGCTAGCGCCAGGACTGGTACATCTCGGTGGAGTATCTTCTGGTATTCTTTCATGATTTGGAACACTTTTACCACGTCTGAGTTGATTCATCCTTGTTTTTTCATTATTAGCATTTTGGTTGCTATTTTGAGAACTTTGCTCGGATCCCATTTTCTTAGAGCTTCCTTAAAGATCATGAAATTTCAAAAAATAGAAGTGTCAGTAAAGAAGTATGAACTTCAATTAAATCATATAATTTAATATATTTTACGATATTTAACAGTTTTTATCATCTTTATGAATTAGAAACAATGCTATTTTCGCTAAGCTCTGTGAGAATTAGGAAAATCAGCATCAAGTACACTTGCAAAATATCACAGAATATTTAATAAATTTTACAGTATATGATATATCCTCAAGATATTTTTGCAGATTTTACAAAAGTATTGATAGTATTATTAGCATTGTTTATATCTCATCATAATATATCATGTCAATAAACAGCAAAACACTAAAGAGGTTATATGAACAATAAAAATGTATATTTTTTCATTTTACCCTTATGTGCTGCTATTTAAAATTATTATTCATTTTATATTTTATTATATATTTTATATATGTATTGCTTTTTATATTTATTATTACTTTATTTCTTGTTTCATGATTAGCATGGTAATAGAAACGTAATATCCAGTGAGCTCTATACATAGTACATACTGGCAAAGTTGCTAACTTTTTGAGAGATTTTCCTAAACGAGCATGTATGAAATCCTATCAAAGCCAAAGGCCCTACGCAGATTAGAAGGAATAAGGGTGCCGTCACATGCAGCGTAGCCTACGTAAAGCTCATTCTACATTAAGGCCATTCTACATTGGTCGTATCGTAGACGTCGCAAGTCACAAGCTTGTTGCTTCAGCCAATCCAATGCTTCAATTTTTTAGTCGCATGATGCTTACGACGATTCCGACGCTACAATACGACCAATGTAGAATGGCCTTTAAGTCCATTTTATTAGACGCAAGCCGATCGCAAGTTTGTGGCGCCAGCCAATCTGAAGCTTGCATTTTGAAATCAACACTTCACATTGGCTGTCGCAACAAACTTACGATCGGCTTGTGTCTAAAGGCCCGTCTACAATACACGGAGTAAAAAGTAAGAGTAAGAAATTGACCAATTACAGTCGAATGTGAGAAGAATAATCGACTGTGATTGGTCAATTTCTTACTCTTACTTCTTACTCCGTGTATTGTAGACGGGCCTTAATGTAGAATGGACTTAAAGGCCGCAGCACAGACTCTTGCACAGCGCATAATGCATAGTGCGTAAAGGAATCAACCAATTGAAATTCTTCTTTTCCATGAAATGGGAGGAAAAGAAAGATTCTGATTAATTGATTCGCTTATGCACTGTGCGTTATGGCTCCGGCACACCAGCGCGATGTTCGTCGCGCGCGACACGCGATATCCAATGAGAGTATACCTTTAGTGCGGTCTTTAGGGCCATTCCACACAACTTGCATAGCCGCATAAACATATGCATAAAGAAAATCATCTAATCGTAGTTTACGTTTGGCTTTATGACAGAAACGTGATTGGATAATTTTCTTTATGCATATGATTATGCGGCTCTGCAAGTTTATGTGGAATGGCCTTTATGGTACGTTTCCACTGAGCGCGTCAC